TATTAGACTATTTGATCAGGGTAAGGAAATTTTTTAGGGGCCTGGGGGAGGCGTTATGGTGTCAGTGTCAGACATAACTAAATTCACTTTAGTTGTCGCGTGCCACAGAGTAATCATTTGGCACAAGATTATTTTCAACCACATACTGTAACAATGATCAGCATGAGGGAAAGGGTGCAGAGATTGAAGGTGCCGAAGACAGCCTCGTAAATTCAAAATGCAGGTTCTCATCTTGAAAAGAAATATTTGTTTTTAAAAATTCGAGCAACTAGCCGGGGCGACCAAACCAAAACTTTAACGACGTGTTCATTACTGGAGGAAACAAAGAACACATCAATTTAAATAAAACCTTCTAATTCAGGGGGGGGGAGGGTGCCATTGCCCCACCCTGCAAAAGACAAAAGCAGTGGAGAATTTAATAAAAATAGGCTAATCTTTTTTAAACCTCTGTTATTCAGGGAAATTTGTCACAAAATTAACACATTTAATGGAAACACAACGCTTTCGATATAATAATTGATGAAATGTCCACTGTTTGTATTCAACCGTTACATTCTTAATACAAAATTTATATCAATTTTGTAAAAGTTTCCATTTGATGTAACTCAACATTCATGGAATCGAGTAAATTTATAATTATTCTAATAAAAATATAAAAAGTCTCATTTATAATTAAATTAAGACCTATCCCTACTTTAAAAGAAATGCTTTTATAAGGAAATATAATTTGAAAATAGACTGCGTATGTTTGATACTCTGCAAGAACTCTATTTGAATTGCAGACCTTGATATCGATGTTATTAAGGTCGTTTAATACAGTGCTGTTAAAGTTAAAGTCTTTAAAGTTGTGACGTTGCATTGATGAATAAAATTACCGATAAGTGCGCACAACGAGAAGTGAGACTTCGGCCTATACAAGGAGCGGTCAGTACGCTAGTGTAATCGAATACTGTGAGCCTTTAACAAGATTGGCCTTATATATTATACGGATCATTAAATCTATTGAACGTAGCGATATTTCATGAATTCCACTAATTGTTATCGGTTAAAGGGACCTGATAGTATTCTTTTTTTTTTAAATACAAAAAAAAAAAAACCACAATAATTTAGTCGTTTTTAATTTTTTAAAAATAATTATATAATCGTTATTTTGTTGTACTCATTTTGCTCCGGAGGGGGGCAATTGACTTTCCCCGGGGGTAGTGCGCCCCCCCCCCCGATAAATGGCTGAAAGAAACCCTGCTTACAATGGGAGTCGCTTAGTCAATTATTTTGTCACGTGATATGAGTAAAAACGAGTAAGATTTCCGGTATACTGTATACAACACACTAGTGCTTGACAACAGCAGCCCGATACACACTACAACTACACTACATTTCGTCCAATGAAAATTAACAATAAAATAAACAAAGGGGAATGACTCCTGCATCAATATTGAATAACAACGCAAATGACGTCATGAGCACGCACGGAGCTCAACAACATCCTGCCGATAATAGTATTGATAGTTCCCATCGAATATCGCTCACAAATTTTTCTTGAAATAACTTTCTTCCTTTAATCANGTAAAATTTTTAATTAACATAACATTGGGGAAGCACTGATGAAGTATCTTTTGTTGTGTGTTGCAGCCTAGTGATGACTTACTCATATCACGTGACCAAACAAGGAAGTGACTAAGCGACTCCCATTAGTTCAGATTTGAGGAAAGACCCGTAAAATCAGCATGTTTCTTATCTCCCCTCTCTCTTCTAAAAAAAATAGACACGCTCTTCGCGGAAATTCGTCACGCCCTTCGCGGAAATTCGTTACTTGTATTTTTGTTATGTTTTTATGCCACTTGTAACGTTATGCCGTGAATAGTTTGAAACATCACTGCGATTACATTACTTATAAAGCTATTCATTGAAATAGATAATATATAATTGAAATGCATCAATTAGATTAATACAAACTATACTTTAGTCGTCGAACGTCATCTCAGTGTTAATAATTACATTTTTAAAATACCCGTTTAGTGGATTTGAGACAGCGAACACTTAAGGCTCACAGAAAAGGTGGATTACTCAATGGCTAAATCGCAGCTCTTGATACGTATTGAAATTTGTGTTTGTAAGTAATTTGGGACGAGATAATCTGTTACCGCTACTCAGTTACATCGAAGTAAGCTCGCGATAAGCAGCACGTGACGCGTTAATCTGTGAAATGAGCTCGACGATGTATCCAATGTGTGTAATGAGCTTAACGTGGCGTTAGTTTTAGCATGGCAATACTTTTAAAGGCGCCCACGTGCGTATTCTCTAAACACAACACTGTTCAAACAGTTGTCACGATTAACGTTAGTTCCAGACTAACAACATTAGTTATGCTTTGATACAAACGGTTGAAGACGCCCATCGAATTCGCTTAATGGTCGCTCGGACTTCACATGACTTTGACAGGGTTGCTTTCCAGGACGGAGAAATTTAGTAAAGATTTAATGCATACCTGTGTTACATGGTGCCATCGTTTTGAAAACTTTTGATTTGGAAATGATAGGCAGCCATTTTTAACCTTGTCTCCCTTGATGACCACTTACCTATATGGGTAAAGGTAACAGCCATCTTTGACAACATTTTCATTCAGAAGTGGGAGCTTCAGTACTTTACAGTTTGGCTAATAGTGTGAATCAGCGGTTCTCAGCATGTAGGTCGGAACCCATTTGGAGGTCGAACGATCCTTATACAGGGGTTGCCAAAGACCACAAGAAAACAAATATTTATGAAGTAGTGGCAACTGAGTTTGTAACAGACTGTTAAGTCGCTTGTAATATCTTAATCTTTATCATGAATTGGCACGAACAACAAGAAGATTGCTGGCGCTGTCCTTTTGAAAAAAAACACACAAATTATAGATTTCGCGACCTTTCGGAAAATCTAAGTATTTGGTTATAATGGTCACTTGAAGATGAGAGCAGAAAAGCATGAGATGCACAAACCACAAAATTTCAATAAGGTATAACGTAATGTACTTCAATTCGATTTTACTGTACTGTAATTTCTTCAAAAGGTTAGTAAATATTATTTGTTTAGGGCTTGGTCTAAAATGTGTGAGCCTAATGGATAGTCAAGTATATTGTAAAACAATGGGGAAGAGTTATTATGATATGAGGTAATAGACAAACCTATTTTATGGCTGATGTTGCACGTTATCAAAATCAGTAAAAAAATAAACGTTGAAGGGAGATCGACATTTTTAGTGAAGAACTGCTAAAAAAACTGGCTTGCACAAGTTGGGGCACAGGAGCCAGAACGCTTAGAGCTTTATTTGTACTAATTTGTAGGCAGTGTAAGGTCGTTGATGGATTACATCATGCCAGTCCAATCCTTTGCAAGCAAGACCGCATTGGAAAAGTTGGGCCGAATCCAGAATCAGTCTTAGAGATTCATCTGTGGCGCATTCAGGACCACACTCACAGCTGCTGTAGAGGTCTTGGCCAATGTAGAACCACCAGATATAAGGAGGGGAAAAAGTAATGCTAAGTACCGTAGAGAGGTAACGACGGCTGAACGAGAAGGAACCGTCGTTCCAGATGCAGAACAACTGGGTGGCGGGCAAGGGACTTAAAAGATCACCATTCATGCACCAAGTCGTGGAGCTTGAGACGACATTCAACCTGCCTCGCAATAGAGAACCTCTGACCTCAAACCCAGACAATTTGCCATACGCGGAACCCTCACGCTCCTAAATACATTTGGCATTGACCGATGCAGCAGTGACGAAGCGCAGCCCGGACCATGTTCAGAAAGCGGCTGCCTTTGAGACCATTGCTATGTCCGACAACATTCCAGTGAAAGTGTTCACGGGCTGCTCTGCCAATCTGAGAGAAAGTACTGTTGGGTATGGGGCTCTCATACTATGTCCAGCAGGGGGGGATCACCAAATCAAGAACTCTTGGGGCCCTGTGGAACTGCAGCATCAAACTTTGATGCGGAGCTCGAGGCTATCCACAGGGCCCTAGAGAGCGTGTGTCACACCTTGAAAGAGACGGAGCTGGCGGGGCTCGATGTGATCGTGTACTCGGACTCAAGATCTGCTCTCGAGATCTTGGGGAAGAGATCGGGCTTCACTCTCCTAGTTGACGTCATCATTGATGGCGTGTGCAAGATCAGTGAACTGGGAGGCAAGGTGAAAGGTGACAGTGGACCCCAGGTCACGTTTAAGTCAGCGGCAATGAGAAAGCGAACTCTCTGGCAAAAAAACCGGGGCTGCCCAGCCTCAGCCAGAAGTACCAATAACTTATTTGGGAATGAAGAACTGGCTGGCGGATCACTTCAGGTCGCGGTGGTACAGGCAATGGGCAGACAATGGACTGTCAGAGACGTCTTTTCAAATTAGCCCACTCCTAGCATGGACTCATGGTGGGGTTTAGGCCGTAAGCAACAGAGCTTAGTGACGCAGGGGCCCCATTGGCACATACTTCTGCCGGCTAGATAACAACAGGGACCCTACCTGCCGGCATTGCAGCCTGGTCCCGGAGATACTAGCTCACCTGTTGACCGAATGTCCCTCACTAGATCTTCCGGGGGGAAGCCAGCTCGGTTGGACAACGCTACGTGAAGAAAATGTTATATGGCTCAGCTCAGCAGATGGAGTTGGTAGCCAATGTACTAGCCAGGGGTCTTAAGATATTAACTTCAGACCTTCACCAGAATATGTGTGATAGTTAGTGAAGAACTAATTTTACTCAATGTTTCGTCGGAACTTCAATATTAACACAGCAAGAAGTGGGAAAGGGATAACTAATAAATGACGTTACTGACAGTATTACAAACAGTTTCATTTAAAATAAAATTCAAATAATTAAATATTTAATATTAAAAAAAAAATGCCGCGTCCTTTATCGCCCGTCCCAATTGTTACCACATTCATTTAATAAGTCTATAAACACAACACATCCATGAAATAAAAATCTATAAACACAACACATCCATGAAATAAAAATTAACAAACAGTTTTTAAGGAATGAACAACAGCCAAATTTTATTGTATACTTTTATTTTGATGACACGTGATGACAAATCTTTTTTTTTTTAATAGTAAGAAACAGGCATCATCTAAAAATAATACAATTTTTATTTTTATTTATTTTAATTTTAAAAAAAATCCCATGGCTTACTATTGATCATAAGATCATAAAGTAATAGGTCCGTGTTAATTACTTTATTTTATGGGGGGAGGGTTATAGAGTACATCAACCTCTTCGGTTTTTATCTTGTTGTTTCCTGGGCTTCTATTTAATAGGCCGTTTAGGGGCTGGTTTAGGGGTTGGTTTAGGGGTTGGTTTAGGGGTTGGTTTAGGGGTTGGTTTAGGGGTTGTTTTAGGTGTGGGCTTAGTTGGTCCTTTTGTTTGAGGTGGTTTGGTGGTGGTTTTAGCAACTACAACGGGCGGGGCAACCACGGCGGGCGGCTTAGCTAGTTTGCTGGAGTTGAAGCCAGAGTCCCCGACACATACAATTTTAGGCAGGCAGCAGTCTGGGTAGGGTTTGCTTGCATCGAGTTCTTCATAGCACTTGCTTGTGTTGTAGGCGAATGCATAGACACCGCAGCTGAAAGGAAGGAACATGAAGACTTCTATTTACAAATTCATAAATGATTTTAATATATGTTATACCATTTATATATCTTTTATATCGAATAAATCTTAGATATATATATATATATATATATATATATATATATATATATAGATAGAGAGAGAGAGATAGATAGATAGAGAGAGAGATAGATAGAGAGATATATAGATAGAGAGATAGAGAGATAGAGAGAGAGATAGAGAGATAGATAGATAGATAGATAGATAGATAGATAGATAGATAGATAGATAGATAGATAGATAGATAGATAGATAGATAGATAGATAGATAGATAGATAGATAGATAGATAGATAGATAGATAGATGATAGATTACCTGGCACATTGATATTCATCAACGTAGCAGTCACATTTCATGCAACCTTCCGGATACCACGTGTCTCCAGCCACGCGATTGTCAGGACACGGAGCTGCACAAGTCGTTCAAAACAAAGAATAAATTATTCAATTTTTGGTTGTAGTTTTAGACATTTTTAGTTTAAAGAAAAATAGCTATAAATTTGTTAAGACACAAACATTTGTGTCATTAGTTACTTTCGAAACAATTTTTAAATACGATATCAAACAATCCCTTTTAATATGCAGCAATTTATGCGCCATAATATTGTAATCACAAGAAAAGAGGAAAACTGTTAGACTGAATCGATGAGTTTATTTCTCATGAAGATTTATTTGTGTGTCGATTTACCAAGGTTGGGTCTAACATTTTAAAGATTATAGAGAGACATTTAATTTAGGCTTTGATATATAAAACATGTACAGATATTATATGTATACACGAAATGTTTTTATGCAGCTGTTTGAATGTAAAGCCTGTACAGCTCACACCATCACCCCCATTAGTGTCTAAACACCACACACCACCACCTCATTAAGTGAAACACCCCACACCACCACCTCATTAAGTGAAACACCCCACACCACCACCTCATTAAGTGAAACAGCCCATACCACCACCTCATTAAGTTAAACAGCCCACACCACAACCTCATTAAGTTAAACAGCCTATACCACCACCTCATTAAGTTAAACAGCCTATACCACCACCTCATTAAGTTAAACAGCCCACACCACAACCTCATTAAGTTAAACAGCCTATACCACCACCTCATTAAGTTAAACAGCCCACACCACAACCTCATTAAGCTAAACAGCCTATGCCACCCGCTCATTAAGCTAAACAGTCCACACCACACCACACTATCATAAGCAAACAGCCCACACCACACCATCATTAAGCTAAACAGCCCACACCTCCCGCTCATTAAGCTAAACAGCCCATGCCACCCACTCATTAAGCTAAACAGCCCATGCCACCCACTCATTAAGCTAAACAGCCCACACAACAACATCATTAAGCTAAACAGCCCACATCACACCATCATTAAGCTAAACAGCCCACACCACACCATATTAAGCTAAACAGCCCATACAAACCCCTCAAAAAGTTAAACAGCTCACACTACTCCCTCACAAAGCTAAATAGCCCACACAACCCTCCTCAAAAAGCTAAATAGCCCACACCACTCCCTCACAAAGCTAAATAGCCCACACCACCCCCTCAAAAAGTTAAACAGCCCACACCACTCCCTCACAAAGCTAAATAGCTCACACTTTCCTCCTCACAAATCTAAATAGCTCACACCTTCATCCTCACAAAGCTAAATAGCCCACACCAACCCCTCAAAAAGTTAAACAGCCCACACCACTCCCTCACAGAGCTAAATAGCCCACACCACCCCCTCAAAAAGCTAAATAGCCCACACCACTCCCTCACAAAGCTAAATAGCCCACACCACCCCCTCACAAAGCTAAGCAGCCCACACCACCATCCTCATAAATCTTAACAGCCCACACCACCCTCCTCATAAATCTTAACAGCCCACACCACCCTCCTCAAAAATCTTAACAGCCCACACCACCCTCCTCATAAATCTTAACAGCCCACACCACCCTCCTCATAAATCTTAACAGCCCACACCACCCTCCTCATAAATCTAAACAGCCCACACCACCATCTCCTCTTATAGTCTAAACATCCCACACCACCATAAATCTAAACAGCCCACACCACCATCTCCTCTTATAGTCTAAACAGCCCACACCACCCTCCTCATAAATCTTAACAGCCCACACCACCATCTCCTCTTATAGTCTAGACAGCCCACACCACCCTCCTCATAAATCTAAACAGCCCACACCACCATCTCCTCTTATAGTCTGAACAGCCCACACCACCCTCCTCATAAATATAAACAGCCCACACCACCATTTCCTCTTATAGTCTCAACATACCACACCATCACCACATCTCTTTAAAAATCAAGCATCTTGCTGTCAATATGGAGACATTTTCTAAGCACTTCTCAAATCAGTTTTGCGAATGGACCCCGGGGGGGGGGGATAATAAACCCTTTCAGGTGTTCCGGTTGTGTGTTACTGGCGTAATGAGTTGAAAATGTGTACTGTCTCACTCAGGTAGAATGATGCTGGCGTAATGTGTTCAAAGTATGCACTGTCTCGGACAGTCTTCCCATCGAATAAGCTGATTCTCAAAAACGCACTCCTTAACCATTGCCCACGTCAAGCGTAAGATTGGGAGACTTTGACGAATTATGAAGTCACTATCACGTGAACATGATTCGTCGTGGTAAGTTTTCATGCAGCGTTTTCGCTAGAGATCGTCAAGCTCTAAAGTTGGTTTCCCCGTTCTGTTGATCTGTCGATACGACAGTTGATGCTACTGTTGATACCACCGTTGATACAACTGTTGATAACACTGTTTGTTGATACCACTTTCTATTTATGTGAATGCCTTTTCGTGACAGAAACTCCATTAAAACTGAATAAATGTTTCAATAACCAAGCCTCAACAGCGTTTTTAAAAAATTCCGTTAAGAACATTGTCAGGCTCAAACCGTTACTCGCACAATTGGTCGGTTTTGATTCAACCCTTCTAAAGGATATGATGGTGATTGTCATTTATTGAAACAGTGACTGATGCCCGAGTTTTAGCACTCTTAAGCTGGTCATAATATACTGTTTTATTTATACTGTTATTTTAACAAATATTATCCAAAAATAGATTTGATCATACAAGATGTATAAATTTGTTTCAAAATATTGTATCCGAAGATCAGATCAAGCTCGGCATTTTATTAAATGACCAAATCGAATTTGACATTTTATCTAATGTAGAAATCAAGTTTGACATTTTATCTACTGACTAAATCAAGTTTGACATTTTATCTAATGAATAAATTAAGTCCTGTTGTTGAATAGTTGAATCTATTTTAAGACATGTTATTGAATACACTTCTCAACAAACGAACTGTCTTTCATCGAAAATGAGTCTGTAAGGGCAGAATGACTGGTTCCATTGTTAAAAGGCCCACGCAATATAGTTAACAAAAATACAGGTCTACAGGGCGTAGTCAAGAAACAAACACGTCTTTACGGCGTGGGCAACTAACACACAGATCTACATGGCGTAGTCAACAAACATACATATCAACATGGCGTAGTCAACAAAATACAGGTCAACACGGCGTAGTCAACATACATACAGGTCTACTTTACGTAATTTAAAAAACAACAACATTATTATCAAAATTGCGTAGTCAATAAACATGCAGGTCTACATGGCAGGTCTTACAAACATCTATGACCTCATGAAACGCTAGGTAACGAACCTATGCTATGCATACTTTCTTTATCATTTAGGGTAATCTAATCTCCTCAACTTTGGGTGTTTCCAATGAGCACAATGTCATAGCCACTTTGACAAGATTTCGTGACGTCATTTGAGTATCGCCATACAAATGCAAAGGAATATGTGGCGTCCTATGCAGTAACCAAAGACTGAGTCACTGACCACGACCGTATGGTAACGTCTTTATTTGTATGAATTTATGTTTAGTATATTATGTTTACAATTTCATTTGTATGACTTTATGTCTATCACATTATATTTATGATATTATGTGGAGGTGTCTTTCACACCTTTGTGTTTCCACTCCACAAAAACACTAAGTAATATGTTATAAAATCATAACGTGTTTACCATATTGACTGTTAATTAATTTATTAAAAAAGACGATACATTATTTGAAACCATCTTTTACTCACCAAGTCCACGGAGCAGTGCTCCATTCGCTGCAGCCAGAAAAGCCAGAGAGACGCCGATGATAAGAAAGAGACGAGGCATTGTCACGCGAGGGCAGCGGATTGAGTGATGTAAGTCCTTTAAAGTGAAATTGAAATACTTTTTCAAACGCCATTGTCTACGCTTTGGGAATCCTGATAAAGGCGAACTTTGTCTAATTGACTTGTTTTTTGAAATCTCATTAAATCTATAACATTTCTTTCTCAGTAAAAATTGAATAATATATCTAAAAAATTGTTGCCCGATTAATATGTTAAAATATGTGAAAAATTTCAGGGATCATCCACAATAATGTTCAGAATGTATGCGTTTAACATTTAAACAAATATTTGTCAACACTTGTAGGAAAATATAACTTTAAAGGATGTAAATAGAATAAAAGATAAACATAGGAACTTTAAAGAAGAAAAAGATGAATTGCAATTTAATTTTAATTTTTAAGGATAAATCGTTTTTCTTTTCAGCATCTGTAGAGAATTAGCCTTTACAAAATGACCACATTGAATTTTAATAAAACTATTATATATATAAATTGTGCTGCTTAAATATAACCCGCAAGGGAATTTTCATGACTATAAGCGATTACATTATTAATGCCTCTAGATTATAAAACATTTGACCAAACGAATCCGAGTGAATATAGGTTTAAAATAGACATTGCCAGCTCGCCATTTGCTTATAGAGATTGTTTCTTTTATAAGAGGTCAAACGTGTAGCAAGAAACTGATTCACCATTAGATTAGAATCAATGAGCAGCCGCTGTTTCACTGTTTAAAAGATTGCAGATAAGATGCTGGGGTTTCAATCATTGAATACAATATCGAGAACGTGATATGTGACAGCTTGAAGGACAACACAACAGAAATGAACGCTTGGGCGGAGCGCCTTCCCATGCGAACACAACAAATTAAAGATCACACGAAAATCAAAGCAAAAGGACTTTGCTTGCAAGTAACTTGACAGGAACTAGTTTATAATACAAACATGGACACATCAAAAGTAACTTGACAGGAATTAGTTTATAAGCCTAACATGGGCAAGTCACTAGTCACAGGGGATGAGCATATTAAGAATGTATGTAACCAAGCAAACAAGACCCTATGGTTCTTAAGGCGAAATCTAAAGATTGGCAACTCCTGTGTGAAAGAAAGAGCATATAAAGCCCTTGTCCGTCCAGTTTTAGATTATGCATCTTTAGTCTGGGACCCATTAACCCAGAAGAGCGTTGACAGATTGGAATCGGTCCAGCGACGAGCAGCACGCTTTGTCCTAAACCGCTATAGAAATACCTCTAGTGTTGGCAGCATGCTGGAAACACTAGCCTGGTCACCATTGGAGGAACGACGACGACAATCCAGGCTCTCCATGATGTACAAGATAAATAATGGGCTGGTCCACTGTTCCAGTATTAAGCAGAAACTCGTCCCTCTTCCCCATAGACAGGCAATTCAGGCTCATACCAGCAAGAAGCCAGTATAGGAGCTGCTCATTCCTGCCCAAGACAATCAAGGACTGGAACAATCTTTCAAAAGGAACAGTTGAGGCGACAACACTAGACACATTTGCTTCTATTGCCTCAGGCCTTCCAACCGTCAAGTTCATAATTCCCTCACAAAGTGGCACTGGAAATCAGTGAAATTTCCTCATCAATAATAATAATAATAATAAAGTTCATTTCAAAAACACGCTTCATCCCCAAAGGCTCGAAGCGCGGTACAAAGTCAACAAAAAACAAATCTATAATTTACCACATTTTAAACAAACGCAACACTACAAAAACTAATTACAAGCATACAATGGCAAAGTCTTTCTAACCATTTCAACCATAAGCAACACAGCCATTATGCATTAACTGGAAAATAAGGTTGCCAATCATCCCAGAAGGTGTTTGCGAAATAGATGTGTCTTTAAATTGGTTTTAAAGGACTCCAGTGTCTGGTTGTTTCTGAGATCGACAGGAAGGGCGTTCCAAATTGTTGGACCAGCAAATGCGAAAGTGCGCTTTCCGTAAGTCTCAAGGCAAACACGTGGTGTCGAGAGTTTGCCACTATCGGATGATCGGAGCTCTCTAGTGGGTACATAAGGCGTGAGCAGCTCTTTCAGATAGGTCGGCGCCAGGTCATGTAAGCAGCGGTAGCACAACGTTGCGATTTTATACTCTATGCGAGCACGCACCGGCAGCCAGTGCAGCTCTCTCAGAAGTGTTTTTGCATGGTCGAACTTGCGTTTGCGGAGAACAATGCGAGGAACAGAAACATTGCAAATCCCATCTACATGCATAGGAGCCAAAATCATCAATAAATTGATCGTGGGCCTTTAAGATATAGAAGAAGAAGAATAAGAAGAAGATTATATAAGCCAAACATGGGCAAGTCACTAGTCACTAGTCACAAGTAACTTGACAGGATAAGATTAATTAAGCCTAACATGGGCAAGTCACTAGTCACATGTTACTTGACAGGAAGAAGATTATATAAGCCTAACATGGCCAAGTCACTAGTCACATGTAACTTGACAGGAAGAAGATTATATAAGCCTAACATGGCCAAGTCACTAGTCACATGCAACTTGTCAGGAAGAAGATTATATAAGCCTAACATTGGCACGTCACAAAAAACATGGACACGTTACCAAGAAAATGTATATTTAAGTCTAAGAAGTCAATTACTTGGTTAAAATGAAATGGCAATGCTAGAAAATGTAAACATTGAATGTCATTAAAAGTAAAGAGAAATTAAAACCCCTAGAATAAAGTAATGTTTCAAAATACAAAAGAAGGAACTCTTTTATTTGTATTCCTCTTTGTGTTCCGGCGTATTTCGACAATGTTACGTGTTGGAGTATTAATGCTGTGATGGTGTCATTTAAACATTGGACAGAGCTGCCATTGAGCTAGTAACAGTTGTTAAGGTGTCCGGTATTCCGGGGTTGAAAGAAACCCTTGGTAAACTGTCATGTATCTGGTGAATGACTCGTCACATGTCCATTGGTTAAAGCTGTGTAAGCTCCATTCATCCAGATGAAGGTGTTATTTAATTACTAAATCTGTTGGAGGTGTCATTTATTAGTTGAGTGAGTTTGTCTTGTATTCATTAAGTTAAAGTGTTATGTATCCATTTAGTTAAAGTGCCATGTATTCATTGAGTTAAAATGTCATGTATCCATTGAGTTAAAATGTCATGTATCCACTGGGTAAAGTTTTATCGATCTCTTGGTGGAGGTGCTGTATATCTATTGGATTAAGATAGCATGTATCCATTGAAAGAAGATTTTAAGTATCCATTTAATTAAGGTATAACCTATCAATTATGTTGATGTGCCATATATCCATTGTCATGAAAAGCATTGCTATTATTTGAGATTTTAGTAGACTATATTACTATAATATGTCCCGACTAGTCACAACTCACAATGTATTTAGACTATTTTACAATGAGATTTCCCCAGTAGTCATACGGTATGTAGAATATATTACTATGAGATGTCCCTAGTAGTCACAAGGTATGTAGACCATATTACTAATGAGATGTCCCCAGTAGTCACAAGGTGTCTAGACTATATTGCTATGAGATGTCCAAGTAATCACAAGGTATGTAGACTATATTACGTTGAGATATCCCCAGTAGTCACACGTGGATGGAGTGTCATAGTCATTTATCAAAACTTCGACTTTCAAATGTACTTATAAATCTAATATCCCTTTTATAATATTCCGAGAACCATGTTTTTACTTGAGACGTGAAGATCGCAAGAGAGAGCACAATAAGATTGATTAATATCACATATTTAAACTTTGAGTGTTAGAATGATGATGTGAGATGCAAGCTCGGTCCTTTTAATCAATTGAATAACCAATTTTTTTCTACATATGTTTACATTTTTCCTGTGTATTCTTGGATTTATAGTTTTGATACGGACATTCATCTTTTACAGACATTATCATGGTACAGACATGTATATTGTTCAGACATTGATATTATACAAACATTAATATTGTTCATACATTCATATTGTACAGACAATTATAGTGTGCAATCATTTATATAGTGCAGACAATGATATTATACAGACATTTATATTGATTTATATTGTACATGCATTCATTTTGTACAGCCATTCATATTGTATATTTATTTACTTAGGCATTTTTTATAGCTCTTACCTTGCAGCTCTAAGAGCTTTACAATTATTAAAAATATGTAAACTATTTAAACTGCTAAAGTAAAATAAAAATGAAAAACCAGAGACAGAATACATTTATATTAGGTACAGACATTTATATTAGGTACAGACATTTCTATTAGGTACATACATTTATATTAGGTACAGACATTTATATTAGGTACAGACATTTATATTAGGTACAGACATTTATATTAGGTACAGACATTTATATTAGGTACAGACATTTATATTAGGGACAGACATTTATATTAGGTACAGACATTTATATTAGGTACAGACATTTATATTAGGTACATACATTTATATTAGGTACAGACATTTATATTAGGTACAGACATTTATATTAGGTACAGTGTAAATATAATCCATGTCTGTAAATATAATCGTACAGACATTTATATTAGGTACATACATTTATATTAGGTACAGACATTTATATTAGGTACAGACATTTATATTAGGTACATACATTTATATTAGGTACAGACATTTATATTAGGTACAGACATTTCTATTAGGTACAGACATTTATATTAGGTACAGACATTTATATTAGGTACATACATTTATATTAGGTACATACATTTATATTAGGTACAGACAATTATATTAGGTACAGACATTTATATTAGGTACATACATTTATATTAGGTACAGACATTTATATTAGGTACAGACATTTATATTAGGTACATACATTTATATTAGGTACATACATTTATATTAGGTACAGACAATTATATTAGGTACAGACATTTATATTAGGTACATACATTTATATTAGGTACAGACATTTATATTAGGTACATACATTTATATTAGGTAAAGACATTTATATTAGGTACAGACATTTATATTAGGTACATACATTTATATTAGGTACATACATTTATATTAGGTACAGACATTTATATTAGGTACAGACATTTATATTAGGTACATACATTTATATTAGGTACATACATTTATATTAGGTACATACATTTATATTAGGTACATACATTTATATTAGGTACAGACATTTATATTAGGTACATACATCTATATTAGGTACATACATTTATATTAGGTACATACATTTATATTAGGTACAGACATTTATATTAGGTACAGACATTTATATTAGGTACAGACATTTCTATTAGGTACAGACATTTATATTAGGTACAGACATTTCTATTAGGTACAGAAATTTATATTAGGTACCGACATTTATATTAGGTACATACATTTATATTAGGTACATACATTTATATTAGGTACATACATTTATATTAGGTACAGACATTTCTTTTAGGTACAGACATTTCTATTAGGTACAGACATTTATATTAGGTACAGACATTTATATTAGGTACATACATTTATATTAGGTACATACATTTATATTAGGTACAGACATTTATATTAGGTACAGAAATTTATATTAGGTACAGACATTTATATTAGGTACAGACATTTATACTAGGTA